GGCTGTTGCGGCTTTTCCTCGCCTGCTCACAGCCCGGTTGCTCCGTGAGTTTCTGGAGATGGTGACCTTCTACCACCGTTTCATCGCCCGGGCCGCACACATCATGCGGCCGCTGTATGAAGCATTGAAGGGCAAGACCCCCGTCCAGGCGATCGACTGGACGGCAGAGGCGGACGTCGCTTTTGCTGAGGTCAAGACCGCGTTGGCTCAGGCGGCTTTGCTGGCACACCCATCATCTACGGCTCCCATCTCCATCACCACGGACGCGTCGGACTACGCGGTCGGCGCGATGCACGAGCAGTGGGTGGAGGGCGCTTGGCAGCCGCTCGCCTTTTTCAGCCGCCAGCTGACGCCCAGAGAACGCAGGTACAGCGCTTTTGACCGTGAGCTCCTGGGTCTTTATTTGGCCGTGCGGCACTTCCGTTTCATGCTGGAAGGCCGGGAGTTTACGGCGTTTGTCGACCACAAGCCACTCACTTTCGCCATGTCTAAAGTGGCGGAGCCTTGGTCGGCACGTCAGCAGCGGCAGCTTTCCTACATCTCTGAGTTCACCACAGACATTAAGCACGTGGCTGGCAAGTCGAACCTGGTTGCAGATTGCCTCTCCAGAGTCGTCATCGGAGCCGTCCAGTTGGGCCTCGACTATACCCGCATGGCGGCGGACCAGGTCAGAGACCCCGGCGTCCAGGCTCTGAAGCTGGAGGCGCTCTGTGTTCGAGGCAGTGCACGGTCTGTCACACCCCAGCGTTAAGCCTTCGGTGCGCTTGGTGGCCGCGAAGTTCGTCTGGCATGGGCTGAAAAAGGACGTGAGGACTTGGGCTGGTGAGTGCGTGGCTTGTCAGCGCGCTAAGGTGCACCGCCACACGAAGGCCCCTTTGGAGCGTTTCCTGGTGCCTGAGAGGAGGTTTGACCACGTCAACATCGACCTGGTTGGTCCATTGCCCTCCTCTTAGGGCTTTTCCTACCTCCTCACCATGGTGGACAGGACGACCCGGAGGCGGTCCCGCTCGTTTCGACGTCGGCCACGGACGTTGCCCGGGCCTTCATTGCAACGTGGGTGTGTCGTTTTGGCACCCCGTCGGACATTTCCTCAGACAGGGGCTCTCAGTTCACGTCCGAACTCTGGAACGCCGTGGCAGGCGGTTTGGGGGTTAAGCTGCACAGGACTACTGCTTACCACCCTCAGGCTAACGGCCTCTGAGAGCGCTTCCATCGCTCCATGAAGGCGGCCCTCAAAGCCGGCCTTAAGGACGGGAATTGGGTCGACAAGCTGCCCTGGGTGATGCTGGGCCTGAGGACTGCGCCTAAAGAAGACCTGCAGTGCTCTACGGCTGAGATGGTCTACGGGCAGCCGTTGAGAGTTCCAGGGGATTTCCTCCCTAACGCATCGGCTCCCTGGTCGGCGTCGGCCCAGCGGGCTTTCCTGCTGAGGCCTTTGCTCCGATCCCTACTACTCAGCACGGTACTCAGGTGTCCCAGGTTCCCGCAGAGCTTCGCTCGGCGGAGCACGTGTTCATTCGGCACGATGCGCACAGAGGCCCCCTGCAGCCCCCTTATGATGGGCCTTTCCGGGTCTTGGCGCACGGGGACAAGCACCTGGTGGTCGACCTGGGTGGCAAGGCCGAGCACGTCTCGGTGGACCGGGTGAAGGCTGCTCACCTGGACTTGGACCAGCCTGTGGTGCTGGCTCGACCTCCGCGACGGGGCCGCCCCCCGGCCTCGTCCCCTGTCACGGATTTAAGACCTGTTGTTCCGGTCCCTCCCCTTCCGGGGGCCGCACAGGCGGAAGTCACTTTTCCGACTCCCGTGCTCAGGAGTCGTGGGGGTCGGCGTGTCGTTCCTCCCCGCCATGCTGATTTTGTTTATGTGTGAATTCTGGGGGGGCTTGTGTGGTGACACGTTATTGGACATAATTCACCTTGCTTATTGTGTTGCCACACGGACCCTTTAGTGGGGAACACCTGTAGCTTTAGCTGCCATTCCTGCTAGCTCATCAGGCAGAGCAGTGCATGTGTTAACCTCTCTGATAGTAATGGATAATAAAGATTGGAACTCCATTCTTAATACACCGCCTCCGACTCTCTTTTCACGGCACTACACACTCATATTAGTCAAAGTCAACTTTATTGTCAATCTTCCAGTTTGTGTGTACAGACAGAGAGATCGAAATGCCGTTTCCCATAATCCTGAATATAAAAACAAATGTATATAAAAATACGTATGCAAATATATATATATATATATATATACACAGAATCAAAGACACATTTTGACATGTGCACACATTAAGACCTAAATAAAAACACAACAATCAATATATACAAAATAACAGTCACTTCAATATTTTAGAATGTACATTAGAGCAAAATTGTACATAGAATGTGCAAAATATTAGTGCAAGATAGATACACATCACCGTTAAATTCAAATGCATGAAAAACACACATGTTGTCAGCAGTCTTTAACTAAGTCTTGCCTCATAACTTGTTTTAAAGGAACATTTATTAAATCAGGAAATGATGTGAATTGTGTGTTATGGAATTAATACAATCCCAACCTAGTTAAAGACATGAAACACATTACAGGTGAAACATTACTGATGAAATTGGTGTAAAAATCATTCAGGTCAGAGTCCATGACTGCACCTATTTCTGTCATTTTCTGTTGTTTTTAACTTTGTCAACTGAAGCTCAGCGCTGGCTTTTATTCGTTCTTCATTGATTCCAAAAATAATTACCTCAGTTTTATCTTTTTAATTTAAGAAAGATGGACACATTCCATCATTGATTTCTTCAATGCACTTACTCAGTGTTTGAAGTGGATCATAGTCTCCTGGTGAATTTACTGTAGATGTTAAAGAGAAGAGGCCCCGGGATGGGGCCTTGAGGAACCCTAAATGTCATAGTTGTCAACTCAGATGTGTAGTTACCTATAGAAACACATTTTTTCCTGTCCTTAAAGTAGGATTCAAACCAATTTAGAACTGTTGCAGAAAGTTCAAACCAGTTTTCCAGTCCGTCTTAATACATTAATGTGATTTATGTAACAATCACGCAGAGTAAGGTTAGTGTGCACCCACATGCCGTATATTTCTGTCTATGTGCATGCACAATACCGATGCACAACCATGTGTTCTTTTTACCAAACGTATTTGTTTTAATTGTACATGTGTTGTAATGTTGTTCTAACCATTGCTCTAATTATAATAAATCTGCAAGGCAAAATATGTCTCACTTGTTTTATTCAAAAGACAATTCTGAATTAATTTGTACTTTTTTAACTTAATTGAGACAACATTGAACATATAAAAAAATGCTAGGCTTTCTGACCCATTCCTCTAGGGTCAGTTAGCACATATTATTGGTCAATGATGATACGTATTTTTTTACTTAAAGGTTCCCTATTATACTGTTTTTCATCAATATATTATAGGTCTCAGACAGAGATGGGGTTGACATATTTGTCAACTCAGATGTGTAGTTACCTATAGAAACAACGTTTTTCCTGTCCTTAACCTGTACGATTTTGACTTATCATTAAAGCTAATCTGAACCTTTATCATTTAAGGTATAGACAGATACGTTCAGTTAATTTAGAAATATTGTCAAATATCTAAGAATTAAAGGTGGGGTAGGTAATTCACTTCAGAAACACTTTTTGTTATATTCCATGGAATGCTCTTAACATCCCGATAGCAATGAATACATTAAGTGCTTTGACAATAAATACATAAAAAAATGTCATCTGTGGAAGCCGTGGCGCTGTAAAAAGCACAACCAATCATTTTAGCCGGCCCGGCTAAAATAACTGGATGGCCTACCTGCCTGTCAGCCTTCCATCTGTGCACAAACTTATCTCGTGCCCTCATTGGTCATGAGCGCGTTTGTGTGTGTTGGAGGAGGGGCTCTGTAAGGAGGTCTGAAGGAAGAGGCCGGTTTTTTCCGTCTGTGTACTTTCAAATTCCAGCACACTCGAGCTGGTTTCTCCATTCTTACCTACCCTACCTTTAATGGTGTGGTTGTCTTATGTTTGGACAAATCATGATATTGTGTTGAGTCTTATTGAGCTGCTTTGTGATTTAAATAAAAAGGAAATAGGGTGCATTTGAGAAGTTTTTTCTTTTTTTTTTGTTACTTAAAGAAAGGCATTGCAAAATAAGTTCAGCTTTGTTATCAATATTACATCTGGAATATCTTAATGAATGTCGATACAGCCTTACGATATATTATGATGAATTAAACTGCATACAGACATTAATGCAATGTCTTCTTTGTTTTTCTCTCAAGTCTTCCATAGTTAAGGTATTTTGCTTGATACTTGTTTACATTTATAATAAAAAAGGGCTCTTGTTGCATTATTTGTTGAATTCCTGAGCTGAACTCTTTGAATCTCCTCTCTCCACCCACCACACTTTTCGGGAATAAAAAATACGAAGCGATGATGGAGCAGGAAGCGTTGGAGCGTGCGCTGGAACAAGAGAGAAAGTTTGTCTGATGGAGAAACCCCCAACACTTTGAATCAGATGAAAATAAATGCTTCTTCAAAAATGAATTCACTCAATGTGCTAACCATTGCTCAAATTATAATAAATCTGCACTGTAACAGCAAAATATGTCTGCCTTATCTTATTTAAAAAATAATTCAGAATGTATTTGTTTTTTTAATTAATCACGATTAAGATTAACTCATTTAAATAAACAAAAACAATTATTGCTAAACTTTTCTGACCCATTTCTCTAGGGTCAGTTTAGTTAGCCCATATTTTGGGTCAATGATGATAGTTTGTTTCCTTAAGCTAACATATAGAAGTTAGGTAAGACATTCAGAAAGTATTTAAATGTTTAAAGTTGCAAATCAAGATATTTCCCCATCGATGTGGAAAGACTCTGTTGTCATCGTCTAGACAGAACATCATATTGCAAAATACAATGATACATACAATGTTGCCAAATATATGCTAAATATATGTAAAGTTCCACCATACCTTTATAAAGACACAGGTTCGACAGAGAGATTCACATCACTTGAAGATCTCACTTTGCACTCTTGACAAGCCTCTTGGTTCAGACTCTCAATCAGGTGAAATATTTTACGTTTTTGTTATTTAATGAAGTCTTTGGGATTTGACTTTGAATATATACTCTGACTTATAGCTGTAGTAAATTGGTGGATGAAATAGTTTGATTGAGTGACACATGTTGTGTTTTTGTTTTTCAGGATGAAGTGTGCTATGATGTTCCTGGTGTTGACGCTGGTGGTCCTCATGGCTGAACCTGGGGAGGGTTTCAAATTTTGGCATCATGTCGGTCATGTATTGAATGGTAAAGTCACATTGTGTGTCCACTGAGAGTAGATGTATTGCTTTAGCGTTTTAGTCCATTCTAACATAAAAAAGCAAAAGTCCTTAAAGGGAATTTTGGACCCGCCAACAATTTGGTTCCAAACTAATACAGAAATCGTTGTTACGTCGCATCAATTAAAGAGGCTCTATAATGCTTTCTGGGGTTTTTGTCTCGTGTGTTTCTTTCTCTTCCAAATAAAATATTAGAACTCCAATAAAATAATGAATGTTTATAAAACGGCTTATAATAAATTATAATGCAAAGTATGACAAAGAATAATGCATCGCACTTAACGTTTTTTTCTCTCTTTTTTAATTAGCTGCCAAAAAAGTCCATGGGTAACGTATTTTTCTTCACATTTCAATTATTGGAAAGTGCTTTTGATGCATTATTTGTTTTATTTTTGTCCAAACTCTACGGATCTTTTCTCTCTCTGCACCAGAATGTTGACCGGAGAAGAACTTGAAGCGATGAAAGCGCAGGAAGCGATGGAAGCGCAGGAAGCGATGAAAGCGATGAAAGCGATGAACGCGCAGGAAGCGATGAAAGCGATGAACGCGCAGGAAGCGATGGAAGCGATGAAAGCGCAGGAAGCGATGGAACAACGTGCGTTCCAACAAGAGAACGACTTTGCCTGAGTCCATGATGGTCCATCTGAAAAATAAATGCTTTCTTCTGCTTTTTTCTTCAACATAAAAATGTAATCAACCTATCTGTTTTAAATTGATCTTCTTCTCATTTGGAATAAATCTGCATTGCATTACACAAATCATCGATCTCTTGTATTATTTTAAAGGAACATTTATTAAATCAGGATGGAAATGATGTGAATTGTGTGTTATGGAATTAATACAATCCCAACCTAGTTAAAGACATGAAACACATTACAGGTGAAACATTACAGATGAAATTGGTGTAAAAATCATTCAGGTCAGAGTCCATGACTGCACCTATTTCTGTCATTTTCTGTTGTTTTTAACGTTGCCAACTGAAGCTCAGCGCTGGCTTTTATTCGTCCTTCATTGATTCCAAAAATAATTACCTGTTTTATCTTTTTAATTTAAGAAAGATGGACACATTCCATCATTCATTTCTTCAATGCACTCTAGGGCTGCACGATACTGAAGGAAAAAAATTCCCTTGCGATATATATAGCGTTTTTTTAAACTATATTTAACCGGATGAAGGATTTTAGTCGCGGACGTCTGGATCTTAACTGGTTGACTCATCATACCTTAAGTCATGATCTAACATGTCATGATAATGCATGTTGCTTACCCTCAAATAAGGGGGTTCATCTGTGAATGAAGAAGAGAAGAACCTTTTTGTATCCAAAATAGTTCTAGATGGCAGATGTTGCTTTTCTTTTTGGAAGTAAATCTTCATTCTCGCCGGTATTGTCCTCCTGTGCCTCGCTCATTTTTTACCGGTGTCGGGGCGGGGCCTGCTGTGATCTGATCAAGAATGATTGTGATTGGTGGTTTGCTGTGCGTGCAGAGCCTGCATGTCACTCACTCAAGTACCCCTGACATGAGAGCCGCACACGTTTTCCTTTTGTAACAAGCAGCAAAATAATTGTAACATGACGTGTTTGAGTTAATTTACCTACTTAATATCGAACGTTTATAAAATCGCACGTCCCTGCGATGTGAATATTGCGCATGCGCAAATCGCGGTTATCACCATGACACGATATATCGTTCAGCCGTAATGCACTTTCTTTTAAAATGTTTTCCGGATATCATATAATATAAACACCAAATCCCAGCATGCATTGCGGCTAAAACATCCAATCAGCGAGCTTAAACCATAGCTGAGGATCTTGGGTAATCGCTCGAAATGCCTACGTCTGTTTCCGGTTATTTTATTTTGAAATTCAGTTCCTGACGGACGCCAAAAAAGCCAGGGATTATGGAATTAAACCAATAAATAAAAGCAAGGATAATTGTGTGTTATTGGTGAGTAAATAACAGTGTGTTATTTTGAAAAGAATAACAAATTAGAAGGAAAAAAAGATTACAAAAATACAGATTTCAGTATTCTGAGGCTCTGAGCCCCATTTATTTTCCTCACAGACGGCAACAAAAGTCCGAAATTATACGATTTAAAATAAAAGCAATAATTGTGGCTTGATATTGAGTAAGAACATGTTTTTATGAACCACACAGCTTCCGGTCTTCATTGCTTTTAAAATCGTGCTGTGCAACACGAAAAAAAGGGGAAAATCGTGTTGGTGAACACGAAATGCCATGAGACTGGGTTGTCCCTACAGGCAGATCACGCAGACTGCGGTGGGTGCTTCATTTTGCGGAGGGAGCCTCATCTGAAGGGTTACCTTGGTTGGTGATTGGCTAATGGTTACACAAGACAAAAAAAAAATCGAATCTTTTTTCCTGAGGGGACACATATTTATGTATAAAAGACATGAAAAGGTGGATTTAGCATAATAGGTGATCTTTAAGCTAACATATAAGTTAGGTAACACATTCTGAAAGTATTGTGATTGGTCAAACGCTTATAGATGTCCTGCCCATTAGCCTGGAACGTGCACTATTTTGGAGCGATATAGCCAATAGAAGCGCGAGTGTTACAAAGTGATGTCACTATGTGCCAATCATTGATCAATTAGAATACATCTGCACTGTTATACGGCAACATATTTCTCCCTTGTTAAAATTGAAATTATGTCAATTGTGTATTTTGGCCCCAAGGTGACTAAAATAGACCAAAAAACACAAAGAAACACCCGATTAACCACCAGACGGAGATTTGACTAGATGAAAAACTAATACAAAATATAAAACCTTTGTAAAAACATGTTTTGATTAGCTCACATATTGCATTCATATGATGAAAGGAATACTAAAATAAAAACAGAAAAGTATGTGTAGTAACACCACGTATTAAACTATTGAACAGACAAAGCGGTGTCATGACATTACACCAACACAAAGACCATCCAAAGGCAAACAAGTAATCGGTCCCAGCTGCTTAGATATTTTTAGTTAAGTTATATAGTTAACACTTTGTCCTCTGCTCTTGACTCCAGGAGCATTTGGAAGCTACAGTGCTGTTGTTGCACCGGGATCGACTCTAGGTGTGAGGCTTTAGTGCTTTGATCGAGGGCAGCGTCAGGAGAATACCTGCAAGAACACTGGAGCACCCAGAGGAAACCCACGTCAGCAGAAAAAAACATGGGCCTGGTGGGTTTCAAACTTGGTACGTCCTTGCCGTAAGACACATTTCGAAACATTATACCAAGCCCTATTTTTCACACGACTTCTGGCTTCTTGGAAACTTTGCATATGTATATTTCAGAAAATCTAACGCTCCATGATTAGAACAAATACTGTGAATGGAGATGTGTATCATTATGCAGCAGAGAGTTGGATGGCTGTATGACAGGGGTTATGGTAAAAGGAACAGGACATCTCTAAAGAAAGCCAAGGTTACATTTCTCTTCTTCAATATTTAACTCCTATAGTTAAAACATGCATCATTTTTTTATTAAACGGCTTCAACGGACCACAACAAAGGTAACTTAGCACAAGACACAATAACATCAAAAAGAGCTGTACTGTATAACACCACATTTTAAAAAATGGTTCTGTAGGCACTTTAGAGCACAGGCTGCAATGTGGACATAAAGACAAACAAAAAAAATCTATATATATGAAATCACTATTACATTGCATTTAGTTGACGCTTTTATCCATTCGACCAAGAAAACACAAACTTGAAGAAAACAGAATCGTATAATACATCAGGTTTCATAGAGCAAAACATTTCAAGTGCTACTCAACTAGTTTTAGATAAGGCAGTCCTTTATTAGTATATAAGTGCTTTGAAAGTAATTATATTGCTCGAAGTGGAGTGGACTCTCCACACCATTTTATGTACACTGAACAAAAATATAAACGCAACACTTTTGTTTTTGCTCCCATTTTTCATGAGATGAACTCAAAGATCTAAAACATTTTCTATATACACAAAATAACCATTTCTCTCAAATATTGTTCACAAATCTGAAAAAATCTGTGAAAGTGAGCACTTCTCCTTTGCCGAGATAATCCATCCCACCTCACAGGTGTGGCATATCAAGATACTGATTAGACAGCATGAGTATTGCACAGGTGTGCCACTTTGGTCAACTGAAGGTTGTTTTAAATGTGCTATATAAATAAATAAAGATTGAGACTGAGGTAATTGTTTTTGGAATCAATGAGGAACGAATAAAAGCCAGCACTGAGCTTCAGTTGGCAACGTTAAAAACAACAGAAAATGACAGAAATAGGTGCAGTCATGGACTCTGACCTGAATAATTTTTACACCAATTTCAACTGTAATGTTTCACCTGTAATGTATTTCATGTATTTAACTAGGTTGGGATTGTATTAATTCCATAACACACAATTCACATCATTTCCATCCTGATTTAATTGGATTTTTCATTTAAAATAATACAAGAGATCGATGACTTTTGTAATGCAATGCAGATTTATTCCAAGTGAAAAATAGATCAATTTAAAACAGATAGGTTGATTACATTTTTATGTTGAAGAAAAGCAGAAGAAAGCATTTGTTTTTTCAAATGGACCATCATAGACTCAGGCAAAGTCGTTCTCTTGTTGGAACGCACGTTGTTCCATCACTTCCTGCGCTTTCATCGCTTCATATTCCTTTTTCCCTAATACGCTGGTGGGTGGAGAGAGGAGATTCAAAGAGTTCAGCTCAGGAATTCACCAAATGTCTTGTTGTAAAATGAAACAAGCAAAATAACTTACTGATTGATGGCTTGAGAGAAACACAAAACAAAAAGGACATTTTATTAATGTTCGTATGTAGTAAAAGTTATCATATTGAAATATTCATTAATATATTGCGGTTGTAATATCGATAACAAAACTGAACTTTTTTTGCAGTGCCTTTCTTTGTGTTGTATACTTTTTTTCAAATTACCATAAAAAGGACAGACTGCCAAAATGTTACCTATTTTCTTTTTTTTTCAATCACAAGGCAGCCCAACAATATTAAGATTTGTCGAAAACATAAGAAAACTACACCAGGAATCCTAAGATATTTGAAATGTTTTCTAAATTAACATATATGTCGGTACCTTAAAGGTGGGGTAGGTAATTTTGGAGAAACCAGCTCGAGTGCGCTAGAATTTGAAAATACACAGCCGGAAAAAATCTGCCACTTCCTTACAGAGCCCCTCCTCCAACACACACGAACGAGCACATGACCAATGAGGGCACGAGATAAGTTTGTGCACAGATGGAAGGCTGACAGGCAGGTAGGCCATCCAGTTACTTTAGCCGGGCCAGCTCAGATGATTGGTCGTGCTTTTTACAGCGCCACGGCTTCCACAGATGACATTTTTTTAGTGTATTTATTATCAAAGCATTTAATATATTCATTGCTATCGGGATGTTAAGAGCATTCCATGGAATATAACAAAAAGTGTTTCTAAAATAAATTACATACCCCACCTTTAAATTATTAATGTTCTGGTTAGCTTTAATTATGAGTTATACCAATGCATTCCCAGCTATGGCATGTACACATTAAAAAAAAAAAATATATATATATATATAATACAATATAAAAATCTTTACCATGAAAAATGAGGTTGGAACTTTCTCCACAGTTCTAAATTGGTTTGAATCCTACTTTAAGGACAGGAAAAAATGTGTTTCTATAGGTAACTACACATCTGAGTTGACAACTATGACATGTGGGGTTCCTCTTCTCTTTAACATCTACATTCAACAGGAGACTATGATCCATGAATGCAATGAATAAATGAATGATGGAATGTGTCCATCTTTATCATTAAAAAGATAAAACTGAGGTAATTGTTTTTGGAATCAATGAAGGACGAATAAAAGCCAGCGCTGAGCTTCAGTTGGCAACGTTAAAAACAACAGCAAATGACAGAAATAGGTGCAGTCATGGACTCTGACCTGAATGATTTTTACACCAATTTCATCTGTAATGTTTCACCTGTAATGTGTTTCATGTCTTTAACTAGGTTGGGATTGTATTAATTCCATAACACACAATTCACATCATTTCCATCCTGATTTAATAAATGTTCCTTTAAAATAATACAAGAGATCGATGATTTGTGTAATGCAATGTAGATTTATTCCAAATGACAAGAAGATCAATTTAAAACATAGGTTGATTACATTTTTATGTTGAAGAAAAAAGCAGAAGAAAGCATTTATTTTTCAGATGGACCATCATGTACTCAGGCAAAGTCGTTCTCTTGTTGGAACGCACGTTGTTCCATCACTTCCTGCGCGTTCATCGCTTTCATCACTTCCTGCGCTTTCATCGCTTCAAGTTCTTCTCCGGTCATTCTGGTGCAGAGAGAGAAAAGATCCGTAGAGTTTGGACAAAAATAAAACAAATAATGCATCAAAAGCACTTTCCAATAATTGAAATGTGAAGAAAAATACGTTACCTATGGACTCTTTCGGCAGCTAATTAAAAAAGAGAGGAAAAAAAACGTTTAGTACGATGCATTATTCTTTGTCATACTTTGCATTATAATTTATTATAAGCCGTTTTATAAACATTCATTATTTTATTGGAGTTCTAATATTTTATTTGGAAGAGAAAGAAACACACAAGACAAAACCCCAAAAAGCATTATAGAGCCTCTTTAATTGATGCGACGTAACAACGATTTCTGTATTAGTTTGGAACCAAATTGTTGGCGGGTCGAAAATTCCCTTTAAGGACTTTTGCTTTTTTATGTTAGAATGGACTAAAACGCTAAAGCAATACATCTACTCTCAGTGGACACACAATGTGACTTTACCATTCAATACATGACCGAAATGATGCCAAAATCGGAAACCCTCCCCAGGTTCACCCATGAGGACCACCAGCGTCAACACCAGGAACATCATAGCACACTTCATCCTGAAAAACAAAAACACAGCATGTGCAATATGATGTTCTCTAGACGATGACAACAGAGTCTTTCCATATCTTGATTTGCAACTTTAAACATTTAAATACTTTCAGAATGTCTTACCTAACTTCTATATGTTAGCTTAAGGAAAATAACTGAATCATCATTAACCCAAAATAAACATATGTTTGCCTGTGTCATTACTTTATATTTACAGTAATAATTCTCAGCATAAATGAAGATGAGATACTTACTTCTTTCCTCAAAGTCAAAGCTGTTATCAGTCGAGCAGAGAGAGATCTACAGGTTGTGTGAATCTCTTTTTGGTTATACATCTGTTTATATACGGGGTTTAGAACATCCCCAACTCTGGGTGTGTGCTGCGTTTCGCAAAATAACACCCTGAGGTCACCGCCCTATTCACTTATTTGAATTCAGATTTCAAAGAAGTGAATAAAGTAGTTCAACACAGGTTGAAAAGACATCATACATTTTCCTACATTTCTAACTTTTTCTCATTATCTATTCACTTCTTTAATGACTTTTAAGTTTGAAGTCATGAATAGTATGTGGATATGCATATTATGTAATGAAGCATTTGGAGCTACTTATCAGCTAATTTCATCTTTCAAGTTCTTCTGCTTGACATACCACAAGGCTTTTACGCAACACATTTATTACATTAAGTTGCTGTCTCTAGCTTTGGTCTTTTTTATTACTCTAAATTGTATTGCATTGATGAAAGGACAAAGTGAAGAGTTTATCGCCGGCCACTAGAGGGCAGCGTCACTGCTGTCGCTGTCCGGATATGCCGTGCTTTGACCCGGAAGTGTCGAGCGGCCATTTTAGTTCACATATTGTTCATTCACTCCTCCTCGAGTTGAGACGTTCATCCACTCACTCATGTAAGACTGTTTCCACTATTGTTTGGTGTGTCTTTACTCTATGTAATTGAATATATGTGTATTGGTCATGACATGCATGTATGTAGTACTTTGTCAGCTTATCCTGCGGCATTGCTCTGTTTCAGGGTGTCGTCATCCTTGTCATTAAAGTACCGAAACTGACATTGAGGAGTGTGTTTCTTCATGACGACACCATGGTCGTTGTTGGATGCCCCGTCCCCGGCTGCGAGTTCGAATCCGAAGACTTGTCTGAAGCACTCGTCATATTATATTGACGATTCATGGATTTAGCCACCAGCCCGCAGCGCCTGTCATGGCCGCGCCAGCCCAGGCCCCAGCCCCTCACGGCCCGAGAGTCGATCGGCCCAAAGTTGATGTGGGCGTGTCGATAGAGGAATGGAAGGTGTTCATCCGCCGTTGGGACGTATTCTGCGCCGGCTCAGGCATAGGGGATGCCCAGGCCCCCTTCCAGCTGTTTCAATGCGCTGGGCCTGTACTTGGAGACAGCCTGTTGAAATCCACCCCCGACGCCGCTCTTGCCAGACCTAATCACCGTCATGCGTTCCCTAGCTGTCATCCCAGTCGCTACATGCGTCCTGCGCACTGATCTACTTCAGTTCCGCCAGGAACGCGATGAGACATTCCGTGCATTCGCTGCCAGAGTGCGGGGTAAAGCAGAGACATGCGCATATAATGCGGAATGCGAGTGTGGTAAGGACCACACTCATCCGTGATGTTCTGCTCAATGGCATTTATGACTCGGACATACGCCGTGAGACGCTGGGGACACCTGACGTCCTGGTTAAGCCAGTTAATGACGTAATTGCACTCGTCGAGAACAGAGAGATAGCCCGTAACGCTCTCCCGTCGTCCTCCCTATCAGCCATGTCGTCATTCCGGCGCCTGAAGACGACTCCACAGACGAGCCCCACCCCGAGCCCTGCGGACGGGGCTAAATGTGCCTCGTGCCCGGAATGTAAGAGCGTCTTTAACGTCTTCACGGAGGGGCCTCGCGGGTGGAATCCTAAGCCTCACCAGGTGTGCATCGGCTGCTACAGGGCCCGCCGACGACAGAGGCGTCAACAGCCGTCGTCCGACAGTCAACAGGCCGCCATGGGGTCGGAGCCGGTCTCCCAGGTCTCATCGGTGCAAGCTGGGGCCCGCCCTGGCCGACGTCACTGGAGCCATCGCCGACGCCGCGCCCCTACGTCGCACGGATGTGTCAACAGGCAAGCACCTATCAGACTCGAGCACCACATCTTCTCCAAGAGCGAATGGAGACGGGCCAGGCTGAGAGACCACCCCCGAGCATTAATCACCATCTCGATGGACATGCCAGTCGGGCTGAGGGATGGCACCGGCAACCGGGGCTCGGCCGATGGAGCTCGGATATCCGCCGTCGCGGACACTGGCGCGCAGTCGGACCTTTGGTCGCTGGAGGAGTTCCTGGCCTGCGGTTTCTCGCGGGACGACCTGCGACCTGTCAGCCTCAGCCTGTCGGCCGCCAACCGCTCCCCCATAACCATCGAGGGAGTGTTCTTCGCTAGACTCTCGACAACCTGCAGCGGGGGGCGTGTCACATCCTGCCGTTCCATGGTATATGTGAGCAGCTCGGTCCGGGCCATGTACCTCTCCTACGAGTCGTTGCTCAACCTCGGCCTCTTGCCCGTGAACTTCCCATCGGACGACGTTGCAGGGGGGCACAAGGACAGGCGTAGCCCTGACACGGCTGACACACCAGACCAGCCCTTGTCCGTCAATGCTACGAGGTCAGCCAACGGCGGCTGCGTGGGGCCAGGTGACCCCCGGGACGCCCAGTGCACATGTCCTCAGCGCACGGTCCCCCCGGCGCGCCCCGTAGCACTGCCGTTCCCTTGTAAGCCAGAGAACAATAACAGGATGAAAGATTGGCTACTCGGGAGATATGCCTCGTCGACGTTCAATACTTGCCCCCATCGAGCACTACCATGCATGGAGGGGCCACCTATCGAGATGCACGTGGACCCCGCAGCTACGCCTAGGGCATGTCACACCGCGGCTACAGTGCCTCTACACTGGCAGTGGAGGGTCCACGATGACCTCCTGCGGGACGAAGCCCTTGGGGTCATTGAACGTGTGCCATACGGCGAGCCAGTGACGTGGTGCCATCGTATGCTAGTCACTCGGAAGCACGACGGTTCCCCACGCAGGACCGTGGACCTCTCCCCCTTAACAAGTTCTTCCAACGTGAGACCTTCGCCACTGAGTCCCCGTTCCACCTTGCACGCCGCGTCCCGAAGGGCACCTGGAAGACCGTCACGGACGCCTGGAACGGCTACCACAGTGTCCCCCTGCGTGAGTCGGATCGCCACCTCACTACCTTCATCACACCCTTCGGCCGTTGGCGCTACACCAGGGCACCACAGGGCTTCCTGTCATCAGGGGATGGCTACAACCGTCGGTTTGATGCCGTCCTCTCGGACTATGAACGCAAGGAACGTTGCGTGGATGACACCATCCACTATGACACCGACCTGGAGCAACACTGGTGGAGGACCATCGACTTCCTGACGCGTGTCGGCCGGTCGGGAATCGTGTTGAACTCAGACAAGTTTCAGTTCGCGGAGAGGTGCGTCGATTTCGCTGGCTTCAGGGTGTCGGAATCTACCATCGAACCGCTCCCGAAATACTTGGACGCCATCCGGGACTTCCCCACCCCTGGCTCCACGACGGACATCAGGAGTTGGTTCGGCCTTGTCAACCAGGTGGCCAACTACGCCCAGTTGCGTGACACGATGGCTCCATTTAAGCCGTTCCTCAGCCCACGCTGTGTGTTCCTATGGTCCCCCGTTCTGGAGGAGGCCTTCCAGGCGTCCAAGCAAGCCATAATGGAGGCCATCCGCGAGGGCGTGGAGATCTACGACATGCAGAAGTGTACCTGCCTCCGCCCTGACTGGTCCATGCGTGGCATTGGCTACTTCCTGCTCCAGCAACATTGTCACTGTGCCTCGGGCATACCGGACTGCTGTCCAGGTGGATGGAGGATCACCCTCGCGGGTTCGCGTTTCCTGTCCCCTGCGGAGCAACGCTATGCGGCCGTCGAGCGAGAGGCCCTAGCTGTGGCCTGGGGTCTGGAACAGACGCGGTACTTCACGCAGGGGTCCGACAACCTCGTCGTGGTCACAGACCATAAGCCGTTGGTGAAGATCTTTGGCGACCGTACGCTGGATGAGATAACAAACTCGCGTCTGTTTAGACTCAAGCAGCGCACCCCCCATGGCGCTTTGACATTGTGCATCTGCCTGGCAAGAGCAACTATGCCGCTGATGCCACGTCGAGGCATCCTTCCCCCTCGGGCTCAGCGAACGGCCTCTCATTGGGGCTGCCGAGCGGGCCTGACGCCGTGGAGTCAGCACTCATGGCCTCCATCCGCGACGACGCAAGGGAGCTCGGAGCCGTCTCTTGGCCCCTCCTCGCACGGGAGACAGCGGCTGACGGATGCCTCGGCCACCTCCTCCAACTCATCGAGCAGGAGGGTGGGATTGACGTAAATGACCCTGCCCTGGCGAGTCTGTCATTGGTCTGTGAGTCCGTCTACGCACAGGACGGCGTCCTGCTCTATCGGGACCGCGTCGTGGTTCCCCCATCCCTCCGTGGGAGAGTCCTTCGGCATCTCCATGCCGCTCACCAGGGGACCTCAGCGATGGGGCAGCATACCCGAGCCATAGTTTACTGGCCCGGGATGTCCGGGGACATTCAGGCCACCAGGGACGGGTGTGCAGACTGCAACCGCAATGCTCCGTCACAGGCGGCTACACCCCCCCTGTCGTCCTCACCCCCGTCCACGCCATTCGAGGCGGTGTTTGCTGACTTCTTCGACTATGGGGGCCGCCACTACCTAGTTGTCGGGGACCGTCTCTCGGGCTGGGTAGAGGTCCTGAGCTCCCTGGCCTGGTCCAACACCTCCGTTCGTTCTTCGCCACCTTCGGCGTACCGCAGGAGCTCTCGAGCGACGGTGGTCCGGAATTCAAGGCGAGCCACACTGAGGACTTCCTCCGCTTATGGCACGTCAAACTCCGTGTGTCGTCCGTTAGCTTTCCGCAGTCGAATGGGAGGGCGGAAGTTGCGGTTAAGACCGCTAAGCGCCTCCTGATGTCCAACACCGGCCCGTCGGGCGGCCTTGATCAGGACCGCTTCCTGCGTGCTATGATGCAGTTGCGAAACACGCCTGATCCCGACTGCAACCTCTCGCTAGCGCAGATCATCTTCGGCCGCCCCCTTCGTGGCTCGCTCTCCTTCGTGAACCGCCTCGAGAAGTTCTCGAACCCGCACATCCGCCTGCTATGGTGCGAGGCATGGGCGGCGAAGGAGGACGCCCTTCGGACCCGTATGTCCCGTACCACCGAATCTCTGGGGACTCACTCAAGACTGCTCCGCCCATTGGCACTCGGCGAAAGGGTATTCCTCCAGAAC